CACACACACACACACACACACACACACACACACACACACACACACACCACCTAGTGGCCACGAGCAGAGCGTGCAGCTAAATCCCACTGAAGTGGCTGGTGGTCCAGCACGTGTGGACAGGGTTACATCTTCAAGCCAGGAGCTCTGTCTGTCCAGGTGGGGTCGGGGCAAAGCTCAAATGTCTCAGGCCAAATCCCCAAGCTCTCTGATAGGGGAGACATTCTGATTTGTGGCCCCAACTGTGACGTAAAACACTGGAAAGGGCTTTTTAGCAAGTCTGAGGGCTCTCTCTCTCTCTCTCTTTAGTTTTTAAATTTTAATGTTGTGCATGTAAGTGTCTTGCTTACTTATATGTCTGTGCCCTACGCACACGACTGGTGTCCAGAGGCTGAAGAGGGCATCCCTTGGAGCTGGAGTTACAGACGGTTGGAAGCTACTATGTGGGTGCTGGGAGCCAAACCTAGGTCCTCTGCAAGAGCAGCCAGTGCTCATAACTGCTGACCCTCTCCAGCCCCAGCGTTATTTCTTAACCATAGCTAATCTCTACAATCTACGCACTTTTAAATATTGTTGTGGGGGGTGTGGGCAAAGAGATGGTTCAGCAGTTAGGAACATGCATAGCCCTTGCAGAAGACCCAGGTTCTGTCCCAAGCACTCCTGTCAAATGGCGTCCCTCAGGGTGGCGACACCTCACAATTGCCCGGGGCTGACTGCGGGGCGGGGGGGGGGGGGGAACCTCACCTCAACACTGGCGTACTTGCACACGGAGCACTTGAAGGGCTTCTCATGGGTGTGTTTGTAACGCCTGTGCCTGGCCAGTTCTCCACTGGTGACAAATGCCATGTCGCAGTCCCCGCACTTGTAGGGCCTGGTTCCTGAAAAAGCACGTGGTTTACACTTTTCAAACAAGACCCAACTGCAAAAACTTCCAGTGACTTTCTGGCTTTGAAATGGCAGTCTGGAAGGCTTCAGCAATTAAGAAGTTCTTTGAACTATAAATATCACAATGTACAAGACAGCGTTCAGGGTAACAGTCAGTGCTTTTAGCTGAAATTCAAGAAGGCGTTGGAGGGTGGGAGTAGGTGTGGGGGGGGAGACAAAACGAAGCTGGGAATGGTGTGGCAGGCTTGTAACCCCAGGACTCAGAAGGCTGCGGCAGGAGGATTGGTGGTCAGAGACCAGCCTAAGCTGCAAGTAATACCCTGTTTCCAAAACAAAAACAAAACATAAAAAAAAAAAAAGACGAAAAACGAAACATAAATGAATGCACAATGAAATCCCCTTCTCATTGGAGGGCAAGGTCCAAATTCTCCTGGATGCTTCTAATAAAGTTTAATTAATAAATTGACATTAAAAACCAGAATCAACAGCAACAGGAAATTGACAGATCAATGAGCTGGGTCTGGTAGTCCAGGCCCATCATCCTTTCTGCTCAGGGGGCTGAGACCGAAGCATCGTAAGTTCGTTCCAGGCTAGCCTGGGCAACTTAGACCTCTCAAAAGAAAAAGAAAAAGGCTGGGGCTAGCCCAGTGGTGGAGCACTTGCCTAGTATGCTTGAGACCCCTTGGTTAGTTCTCCGTGCACATGAAAGGAGACGTTAGCAGATGGTAAGAGAAGACCGACAAAAACTGTTTAAACTACATACTGAAAGGAAAATTACTTAAATGTTTGAGTTGCTTCTTTTGCAATTTTCCTGTATTTGTGCAGTGCCGGGGATGGAGCCCAGAATCCTGCGTGTGCTAGGCAAGTGCCGTACTACTGAGCCCCACCCTTGGCTTCTGGCATCTTCTATTTAGACGAAGGTTGACCATTAGTAACAAAGATGGCAGACGGCAAAGCCCCGGGTAGAGAGAGAACTCGCTGGCTTTCCCCTGCAGCTTGCTGAGAAGGAAGGCCGCCCGGGTGCCTCACCTGTGTGGGTGTTGATGTGGTTCCGGAGGAGGGTGACGGTGCGGAAAGCCTTCAGGCACAGGTGGCACAGGTGAGGCCTCTCATCACTGTGGATTTTTACGTGATGAGTGAAACTCGAGAATTTGGAAGAAGTGAAAGGGCAGGTGTAGCACTGGAAGATTCGGGGGGGCCCTGTAGGGAGAGGACACACCCTGACGCATCTGGAAAGATCATCCTTGAGCAGTTTCAGCAGTTCCGGTAAAGGCCGATGTGACTTCTTTAGCCTCATGCTGTTCAGGACAATGAGATGTCTCAGAAGCTCAGGACACCCCATTCTCGATGAAGAGCATCTTGTTAGGAAATGCACAGCTTCTGTTTTCCACAACAGGGCTGTCTAAGTCCCTCATCCATCTTCCCTGTTGTGCAGAATGGAGAAGAATGGGACTCACAAACACCTGTGACTCCAGGTCCAGAGGATATGGTGCCCCCTTCTGGCCTCTGTCAGCACTGCACACAGGTGGTACCCAATAAATACATGCATACATATACATAAATTAAACATAAATCAATTTTAGGTGCTAAAAAGAAAATGTTAAATATGCTGCATTATGGATGAACTCTGAAAGTAACTAACTGAAAGAATAAAGACCCAGAGGGCACATGGTTTGTAAGCATTATTATGGATATACTATTCCATATGTCCAGACCAAAAAAAAAAGTATATTGGTGGCTTCCAGGGCCTGGAGGCCAGGGATGAAAGGTAATAAAGTGACAGAGATAGATTGGGTGATAAAAATGCTTTGAAATTAGAGTGGTGATGATTAGGTAGGATTACAAATATATTAAAAACTAGGAAATAAGCTAGAAGATAAATTTGGGGCTCTAGTCTCATGACTGTATGGGAATTTACCATAAGGCAAAGAGCTGAACCTCCACCTCCAGAGGCAGAAACCTACAGGAATGACCCTGGCCACATGCAAGGGAACTGAAGTGTTGGCAGGGTGGCTGGTCCCTTTGTAAACTGAGTCACCGTACCGCCTTCCCTACCCTGGCCATGGGCAACAGGAGGCAAAGATACTTTGTGCTGTCATGGAATGGCTTTTTTAGTGGGTTTCTTTTGTTTGTTTTTTTGTTTTTTATTCTTGCCAGACTTGGGAAGGAACTCAAAGTCTCATCCATGCTGAGAAACTGCTGAGCCACATGCCAGTCAGACAGAACTTTTAAAAAGTCAACTAGAAATTGAGATAATGGGATAAAATGTCTTGATTTAAATAAGTGAGAAATTACTTTGAAATAGCAGCCCATTAAATCACTCTGAGAGTCAAATTCTTGCTGTGGGCTGCTGTCTGTTACAGTATTATAATGGGGCCCCTGCCTGAGTGCCATCACTGAGATCCTCTGACAGAGCCATGGATGTCGACATGAAGGCCACTCCTTCTGCTGTCTTGACCCTCCACCCCAGCTTCTAGCCTGGCGTCATTCTCCTGGCCCCCAACTTTGCTTGGTCCTCTTTCCTGGCCTTTAGCCTTCTGCTGGAAGGGCCCCTGCTCCCATTCCCTAGTGCTTGCTCTTCCACAGTGCTCGATGCCCTGCTCTCTAACTACCTGGACCACCCCCCCGCCCCCACAACATTCCCAAGGAACTTCAAGCCAGAAAACAGAGCCCAGGGCCAGCCTGCAATTTACGTGCACAATGTTTTTTGGAACATTTAAACACAGCTTTTAAAACGTCTGTGTGCAAAATGAAACAAACAAACAAACAAACAAACAAAAAAAAAAACCCAAAAAAACCAAAACCATTTGATTTCCAATATAGAACACCAGTTTAAAGTTTCTTCCATTTCCTGATGTTCTGAAAGAAACATTTAAAAGTCAACACTTCCTAGCCCATGGCAGCTCAGTATCCAAGTGGGTTCCCTAGTAAGGGGAACAGGGACTGTCTCTGTTATGAACTCAATGGCTGGCTCTTTGACCTCCCCATCCCCTGTGGGAGGAACAGCCTAGCTAGGCCACAAAGGAGGCCATTGCAGCTAGTCCTGGTGAGCCCTGATAAGCTAGGGTCAGATAGAAAGGGAGGAAGACCTCCTCTATCAGTGGACTTAGAGAGGGGCAGGGAGGAGATGGGGGTGGGGTGGGATTGGGAGGAAATGAGGGAGGGGGCTACAGCTGGGATACAAAGTAAATAAACTGTAATTAATATGAAAATAAAAATTTAATAAAAATTCAACACTTCAAACTTCAATAATTGCCACCTTCCCACAAGGGGGACAGGGGCTTCCCCGCGCATCGTGCGAGCTGACCAGCCTACCCTTGGTCTTCCTTCGAGGTTTTGTGGCATTAGCTTTTGGCACACTTGTCTGCTTTGTCTCTGGCTGATCTTGCTGTTCTTCTACACTTAGGTGGGAAATGGTCACGACCATTTCGTCTTTCCCTTCATCTTTTGGTTTCATTTCCACAAAGAGGAATCTCTCCTCTCCTTTCTTATCTGGTCCTCCCTCTGGCAACAGTTGGTCCTGTTCATCTTCAAACTGATAAGTAAAAATGAGCAATTAGAGGCAACATGGCTAATTACAATCTGATAAAATTCTTCATGCTGGCAAACTGCAGAACACTGAAGGAAAAGCAAGCACATAAGACTGCTCATGGCCATTGAACGCTTGCTATTAAGCCATGGTTAATCTAGCGCCAGGGATTCTGTGGTGACTCCATCTATGTCATTTTGTTTGTTTGTTTTTTTGGGGGGCAGGGTCTCAGGAAGTCAAGCCAGCCTTAAACTCACTATGTACCGGAGGGTGAACCTGAACTTCGAATCCTCCTGTCTCCACCTCCTGAATGCCAGAATCACCGTGGTGTGCCACCAAGTCAGGTTTATAAGGTACTGGGGATTAAACCCAGGCTTCATGCATGCCAGGCAAGCACCAAATGAACTAAGCTACATATCCAGGTCATAATATTAAAAAAAATACAATGTACCTTATATTAATAACATTGTTTCCTGTGACTTTTAAAACTCTTCACACATACATTTGTGTGCTTCATCTGTGGTAAGATATATCTATATTGATGGCCAGATATATCGAGTCTCTCATTATTTTACTGTATTTTATTTTCCAACTTCAAAATATTTTGTTTATACATAAGATCGCACAAAGCCTCAATCTAAGAAAAATTTTACTTTTCTCTCTCCCACAAGGCTTTGGTGTGTAAGACTGAACCATACCTTCATCAGGACTGGGCTTTCGCCCAAGTCTGGCTTTAACTCTTGGTCGTCCTCGGCCACCGGCACATTCTCCCGCAGCAGGTGAAAACGCATCAGCTCCAGCTCCTCAGGTGGGTAGAGCTCCTCCGGGATGCTGACGGTCACGCAGTGCTGAAGGCTGAGCTGGGGCTCCTGGTCCAGCCACAGCAGGGACGGCAACTGCAGCGTGCCTTCGGCCTGCGGTATTATCACTGGAAGCTCCTCAGAGTGCGGCACGCTCAGCCACCCTAGCCCCTGCAGGTGCACATCCTGAGACACCAGGCGCAAGGTCTGCAGGGTCAGGATCCGCCTGTCGCTCTCGGCCGGCACCCACAGAGGCAGCTCGGAATGCTCTTTCTGGGGCCCGGCATCCAGAAACTGGCAGCTGCTTTCGGCCTCCACCGTGACAGCACCCTCCTGGGCTTCCACCCCTTGTAGCCCACCTTCCTCTTTTTCTTCCTCTAGGTCTCCAGGCTTGAACTTCTGCTCTTTGATTTGGGTGAAGTGCTCAGAAGGGTTAGGGACCTCAGCGGCAGCCATGGTGACGTGCCCTGACGGAAAGAGAGCATGCAATCTTTACGGGGTGCAGAACGGCTGACGCCTGAGGACCTTGATCGAGGTGAAAAAAAGGGGGGCCCAACATTCCAGGCCAGTTTGGGTTCCATAGTGAGACTATGTCTCCATCTCATCCCCAACCGCTGCAAAAGTCTCCAGCGGGACTTAGGTTATAACCCAACATTCTAAGTCCCAGCTCGGGGATGATCTGCTCTGGCATGGTCAGGGCTGAGCAAAATGGGGGACCCGCGCACGGTTCCCCACAGGCTCACCCCCATCAAGCCCGTAGGACACCCAAGGTCTTCAGGACAGGGCAATGTCTCCTTTGGCCTCGTGGCTCTTGGCGGCCATGTGCACACGGCTCCCTGCCCGCCTCCACGTTCGCGCCCCGCCCGTTCCGCCCCGCCCAGCCTCACCCCACAGCTATGCCCACTCCCCCTTGTGCTCCCCAGGAGGCTAAGGCACCTCAGGTTCTCACCACGGGGGCAGGACCTAGGCCGTCGACTGAGTGGCCGCCAACTTGCCACCTCGTGCTAAGTGGCTCTTTGTTCTGCAGCTGAGGCCACCACCTCCGCTAGGAGAGCCGTGTGCAGGCACGGGCGGGAAGAGGTGGAGCCAAGCGGAGGAGATGGGAGAAAGGCCGCCCTGGACCCCCAGGGGGCGCTGGAGTCCTGGGTGGGGTTGAGGGACAGAGAGAAAAAAGATGGAGTCCTGAGGAGGGCGCTGGAGTCCTGAGGGATGATGGACAGAGAAAAAAAAAAAAAAGATGGGAGACTTGGGGCGGGGTGTGCTGGAGTCCTTGGGGATGGATGATGGACAGGTAGGAAAAGATGGAGTCGGGGGCTGAGGAGAGGGGTGGGGGGGTGGGGATGACGGACAGGGAGGAGTGGTCCTGAAGGGGGCGCTGGAGGCATAGTGGTAGATGATGGGCAGGAAGGTCAAGGAGAGGTCTAGAGGGGACACTAAAGTAACAAAGGAGGAGGTGGAGGGAAGCCGACCTGGAGACTATGGGAGTACCGACAAGGTCAGTGCTTCAGAGCAAAATCCTGCAAGAGGTGAGGAGGCCTGTGTTTAGGGGGTGCTGGGTGGCGGAATGGGGTTCCGAAGGAATCTTGCGATGTAAGTTGGAGAGCCATAAACCTCGTGGGCACAGGAGTGATACAGGCGCTGTGAGGGGAGACAGAGGAACTAGGGAGGCCAGAGGGAGATGGATGGAGACAAGGAAATTCCATTGAAATTTTGGAATATTGGAAAGTTGTAAAACATATCTTAAAAAAAAAAAATCAGCGGGCCTCAAATGTGTCGTCTTCGACCTTGTGTTCATCTTCAACCCACCTGCAGCCTTTACTCAAGCAGCTCCAGGTGCCATCGGACGGGTGGAGCCAGGGCAGACGCTCAGAGATGGAAGGCAGGAGGCACATGCGTGGGACCATAGGTCCCGTTCAGGTCTTTCCACTTGATAATGTTCTCAACAGAAGCATTCTTTGTGGGCAGGTGGGTGATGAAGTGAGTGGATGGAAAAGAGAACGGAAATTGGGGGGTGATGGTTTGCAGTGCAAACCCCAAGGTCAACAGGACCTTCCCTCAGAACCCCTCACAATCCTCGGAGTTTTTTTTTTTTTTTTTTTTTTTTTTTCTTGCATTTCCACAGCTAGGTGTTTTGTTTTGCCGCTGTAAAGGTATGGCTCTCAACATTTAGCACATTTCAAAACTGTAATCTAGTTTGTTGGTTGTGAATAAAATACATTTGTATGTTGGGGTAAGTCTCAAAGGAGAGCACACAGTTTGAGGAACAGGCTTAAAAAAAAAAGTGACCTACCCCGTTTTCATAGTCTTGATTCAAGCACACTCCCTAACACACCTGGGTGTGGACCGCCCTCGTATCTGCAGCCAAGGAGTTTTTCCACGTCTACACGGATGCTTTCTCTCTCAACCTGTTCCCCCGGCACTTCCTCAGAGCTGTTTGTCTCTTTTGCATATGTTATATACGCAAAGATTTTTTTTTTTAAATTCTAATAGTGCTCAAGACAATTTTAACAGAAATTCTCATACCATTCATGAGTTAGATTTGTGGGCTTTCTCCTCACATCTGAGATTTGTGTGGGGGGAGTGTGTCTGTGTGTGTGGTGTGTTTGTGTGTGTTATGAGTCTCTCTCTCTCTCTCTCTCTCTCTCTCTCTCGTGCGTGTGTGTGCGTGTGAATGCTGGAACTTGAGCTGGGAAGATAAATATTTGGAGAGCCTAGTGAAGAGTGCTATAAGAACTTTTTAAAAGAATCACTTAGATGACTTTTTCTGCTTGAAGAGTATGCACTTGTTCAGGGTCTTCATGGGTAATTTTGCAGCTAGAGGATTTCCTTAGGATATACATTATAGATTGATATTGAAATTTAAAAAAAAATTAAAAACTCCACTGCAACTCTCTCTCTCGACTATAGCCCAGCTGAACTATTTTTTCATTATTGTTTTTCATTAATTATTTATTTTGAGTCAGGGTCTCCAAGTGGTGGGAAGAACCTGAGGCAGCCTAACCCTTTCTGTGGTTCACTCAGGATTTTCTCTTTGTCTGCTTGTTGTTTTGAGAGAGTCTCATGTAGCCCAGGCTGGCCTAAGGTGCTCAATCCTACTTCAGTCCCCCTGGTTCTGGGATTATAGGGGTGTCCTGCCACATTCAGAAAACTTACATTTTTGAGGAGTGGACTCCAGGTTCATGCTAAACAAGTGCTCCACCACTGAGATATGCCAGAGGCTGTTGCATTTGTTTGTTTTTTTCACAGAGTTCTTGCTGTGTAGACTAGGCTAGCTCTGAATTTCTCTATCTTCCTGCCTCAGTTCCCTGTGCTAGGATTACAATCGTTTACCTCCTGGCCTAGCTTGCTTTCCATTCTTCTAAATGGCTCCAGGGGGCAGAAAAATGGCCCAGCAGGTAAAGGGCTTGTCACCAAGCCTTCTTACAGAAGTTTGATCCCTGGAACCTATATGAGGAAAAGAGAAAATTGGTTTTTTTTTTCTTCACCTTTGTTTTTTCTTCTTGCTTTTTTATTCCTTAAAAAATATTCATTTTATTTTGTGTATGCATTTTGTCTGCATGTATATATGTGCGCCTGTGTATGTCTAGTGCCTGGGGAGACCAGAGAGGGTCTTCAGAATCCCTGGAACTGGAATTAGGGATGCTTGTGAGATGCCATGTGGGTGCTGAAAACTGAACCTGGATCCTCTGCAATATCAAAAAAGTGTTCATAGTCTATGAGCCATTTCTCCATCCTGCTCTCTCTTTTGAGATAAGGTTTCATGTAACCCAAGATGGCCATGTGCCTGAGGATGACCTTGAACCGGTGAGCCTCCTGTCTCTACTTCTTGAGTGCTGAAATTACTGGTTTGTGCCAGTGTACTCAAGCTCAAGTGCAGATATAGGTAGAGATAGATACAGATATATGAATGAGACATAGGCCAGTGAGAGGAGGGATATGGGAAGGGAAATGAGGTAGAACGAGAGGAGCAGAGTGGGAGTTTCATAAAAGGAGAAAGCTGAATTGTTAGCATACTTTTGGGGAAAAAAACTTTCATTTACATTTATTATATCTTTTTCTCCCTACTCCACCCCGATGCCTTCCAACACCTCACCACCAAGTCGGAGAGAGAAAGGGTTAGTGAGAGAGGGGGTGTAATTTTCTTTCTTAGCTGCTTCCTGCTGGTTAGGGTTGTTGGGTTCCTTGGAGCCAGTCCAGTCCTTGTTTTAGGAGATCTAAAACTTCTTGTTTGACAACAGCAACCAGGAGCAGCAAGGGGGAAGCAGGAACAGCCTTGCTCTTTCTACCTGCACCACACTCTCTGGGCTCTGGCATTTATTCTCTCTCCAGGGTCCTCAGATTTAAACTACTTGCAGCTGGCAAGGAGCTCCCCTCTGAGCCTGCAAGGAGCTCCTCTCTGAGCCTGCATGAGGCAAACTGTCTGCTGCTGTGAGCTATCTGAATCAGTCCCACATCCCACACCTGGGATCCAAACAAAAACATCTTTACATCCACAACACTGAACTGGGAATAAGGAGCTGAAGAGAGGCTCCAAAGATGGAGGTGGGACAAGCCCTCCCTGTTCTGATTTTGCTTGTAGTCCTGGAGACGGTATTTGGAAGGGGGCACCTCTAAAAGCTGTGCTGGTTTTCTGCTGGTGGGCCTGAGAACTCAGGAACTTTAGCACAGTGAGGTGTGACCTCAGTTTGTACTCACACCCCCATAAAGCCCTGGCTGTCCTGGAACTTGCTCTGTAGACCAGGCTAGCCTCAGACTCACAGAAATCCTCCTGCCTCTACCTCCCTTTAGACACCCCACAGCATCTTTGTCTTAAATACTAGGTAATGTTTACTTGTTTCTTGATGCTAAGAATATTATATAAAAGTATGTTTAATGTCCCTAAACATTATATTTAATTTAACACGCTCATTTTAATATACATTGTAATTAAGATAAGAAAAAATATACGCATGCAAACACAGCTGCACATGATATGCAAATGTATACCTGCTGGTGAAAATTCAAGTGCGTATTTGCATGTGTTATAGAAAAATATATTTGCATGTGATAGCCATGTGTATGCATGCGTGTATGCTCCCTATCTATGCTGTGTGGGGTGAGTAGAAAGCTCTAGGTGGGCAGGAATCTCTTGCACCTTCACCTGACTGGCCCTGGCAGCTGTTGCTGGAGAAGACCGGCCCTAGAGATAGTCCTCTAGCTTTTTGTGATTCCTTCTTGCCACCTTGCTAACCCATATGAAGGGTGCATATGATTTGCATATAATCTGCATATCTTACAAGTTTACAGGCTGTCATGGTGGGTATGTTCTTATTACCATATAGTGGTGAAACCTTCCAGTGCTTTTGACTTCGTCCAACAGCTGTTCCTTTGGCATTGGTAGTGACCCTGGGGTATGCTTTAAGGGACTTTATCGTTGGAAAGTGGGTACCCAGAAGGCTTTTATGAGGGGAGCTCTGGCATCCAGTGCTTCCAACTTGGACCTGTGGGTACCATTTCCCAAGATGGACTTAGGCTATGTAAAAGCTGGAAAGAATTAAACACCTAAGGAGGCAGCTGTGTGGGCTGGGGCTCTCACAGAACTGCCCAGACTGTGTGTGCGGCTTTCATCACCTGCTAGTGTCTACAGAAAGAGTTGGCACATTGCCTGTTATTTTGTCACATCGGGGCTGGAGATCAAACTCCCCAGTTTTCTCCTGCATGGTTAATCACTTCTGTATCTATTTCTTGTTACTCTGAAGCTGAATTAGCAATGGGTGTGAAGATTATTACTTAATCTATACTTCCATGGAAAATTTGATCCTTCTAAGTGTAGAAGATAATTTGTACCAAACAAAACAAAACAAAATAGCTTTTGTCCAAAATGTTCCTGGGGTCACTCTGATTTCAGCCAATTGCCCAGGAGTGATTGCGTTGGCACGTGTCAGTGGCCTGTTAGGCAAGCATTGTTTTTAATACCTGCCATTATACTTTGAACTTTGACACGGACATGGAGGGAATGTACTGACTTCATGGGCAACTCAGCACTGCCTTGGACTTGGACACTCATGGGGACTTTGGGGACAAACAAAGCAACAGATTCTCAAAACCAGAAAGTTCGTGAGTTGAAGAGGCGGTGCACAGGAGGAACTGTTACATAAAAGTGTCTCTGGTTTCCAGAACTTTCCAGAACTTCACTGGTGAAGCCTCCATGTTATCCTGTTGACAGCTGGAGAAGGAAGGCTCTGTTACATTCAGCCTGATAGACCCTGCTGATAAGCAGCCTTGAGAGGGGTTTTCCAGCCCACACCTGATAGAAAGTTTCAGTATAGGGGTGCTGAAGGGGATCATGCCGGGGTGCTGAAGCAATCCCTATTCGCCTTTGACTGGTACAAAGAAAGAATGAGGCGCGCTGTAAGGACTTTGAGGTGAGAGTATCTTGACTTGGGGGATGGGGTGGGGTGGGACATCAGGGTCAGAAGATGGAACCAAAGGAATGGAAAAAGAGAGTCTCAGAATGTGCACCAGGCTTTGGAGGTTGGGGATGGGCTGAAAGCAAGGAAAGAGGACTCTAGAAACTTTTTACAAAAAGCAAAGGAAGGGACTGTCCCCAGAGTCTGGAGGAAGGATGCGACCCTCCTCACCAATTCTCTAGACGTCCAGAAGGTGCGTGTATGTTCCCAGAGCTCTCCAGCCTGAGCAGAAAGATACTTGTGCAACTTGCATCTGAATGCCCGAGGCCCCCAGTTCTCTCCTTGGGGCTATCTCAGTCTCCCAACCTGCTTCCTGCTTTCCTTGCCAACCTCCCCCTTTACCCCCAACCCTAGGCAGGGCCCATGGTTTGCTCCTTGCATTGGCCTCCACAGCCTCTCCCTTGGGGATCTCAGTGTTTTTCTTGGTGATTTCCGAACACCGCATGGGTGGCTTCTGTTGGGGCTCCAAACCCCCAGCTTGCTCATGTTCCTCTAAGGTGCAAGCACAGCCTGCCCAAAGCAGAGTTCTTCCTCCCCTCCTCACCCTGAATCCTGCCATCTTCCGGGCTTCCCCTATACTCAGTGGAAATCTTTGTACATGCTCCTTTTCTTGCAACAGCATCTATTCAGCAAATGGACCTACCTCAGCAATCCATCCAGAGTCTGGGCCCCCAACCCCACCTTCTTAGCTCCCACCCAGATCTGGCCAGCACCATGCTACCCCCTCCACATTCCATCATGCTCCAGGCAGAGCCCCTTAGTAGCCTTCAGAGCTGATGCCCACCCTCTCTTCATTTGGGCTTCATGATTGCCACATAGTCAGCCCTTCCACACGGCCCCTTGTTTCTCCCGAAGCCCTCAGGCCTGATGTCCCCTGGAGGACTCTGCTCCAGATTCTCCTTCCAACATGGAAGAGTCTGGTCTCCAGCATCAAGGCTGGCCCTTTTTACCTTCTGCAAATCTTTGACCACCTGTCTTCTCAAAGGCCCCTGAAGTAAAGTAGAACCCCCCATTCTGTTGTGGGCGGCCTCAGTGCTTCAGGAACAGCAAGTGGCATTTCTCAAGAAGATGGAATTTTCCTACTCTGTTGGCAGTAACATCCGGGTGACACGTGTGCCACTCCTGTGCCAGGTGAGTATCTAAGTGCAGGAGACAGTCTTCAGATGTTTGCCAAGAAAGCACGCCCAAGAAGAGACAGGAACAATCACCTTTTCTGGTTTTGTTTTGGTTCATTTGAGACAAGAGCTTGCTCTGTCATCCAGGATGGCCTTTAACACCTAATCCTTCTGCCCCAGCCTCCCTTATGCTGAGATCACAGGTGTAAACCTAGCTCAGGAATGCAGCTGTCCGAAATCTGGTTCTGAGTAGCTTTTCCCACCCCACCCCCTCAGCACTAGGGATCAAGTCTAGGACTTTTCACTTGGTAGGTAAGTGCTCTACCAGTGAACTGCTCCACCGGCTTCTCCTGGTTCGGAGGCTTCATATTTGTGAGGACTGCGTGGTGGTCTGGCTTCTCTGTACTCTTAATGGAGTGTATTATATTATCTGTATGTAATATGCACCTTAAAACGTTAACTGCCAGACTTGTAAAAGTTATAAGACTGTATACTCTAATCAAACAGTGTGAAATCTGGTTCCCAGGGAGAAGCTGCCAGAACATTCTTAGCCAACCTCTGCTGCTGAAAGCACCCTTCACTTTTTTTTTTCCCACATGTGTGGGTGTTTTGCCTGCATGTATGTCTGTATACTAATTGTGTGCCTGCCCACAGAGTCCAGAAGAGGGCACAGGATTCCATGAAAGTGGAGTTATAGATAGTTATGAGAAGCTGTGTGTGTGGATGCTGGGAATCGAACCCAGGTCCTCTGAAAGAGCAGCCAATGTTCTTAACCACTTAGCTCCTGAAGGCACCTTTGGCTTTTTATGGACGTGAGTTCCAAAGTCAGTTGCAGAGGAGAATACTAAGCCCCAGTCTGGGAAGGGGGAGGGGAGAGAGAATTCACCTCTTGTGAAGGACACATTCAGGAGGATAAAGGGTTGCGAGACATACATTCTCTCAGGACAGCAAACAGCCTTTTGTCTGGCTTCCTCTTGTCAGAGCTTGCCAAGAAGTTGGGAAAAAAAGAAAGGTCCAGAAGACAGCTGAGCCTGGCCACACCTTCCAAGGAGAGAGTGGCTCAGTTCAGCTTCCCTCTGCACTTTTCTTGGCAATATGATTGTCCCGATTTTGACACTGCCCAGGTGGGCTTTCAGATGTGGCTTAGTTAAGTACTTGCTTAGCTTGCACAAGCCCCTGGCTCCCATCACTAGTAGGGTGCAAGCCAGATGTGATAGTACACACCTGTGATCCCAGCATGCAGGAGGTGGAGACAGGAGGATCTGAAGTTCAAGGTTATTCTCTGGCACATGGCAAGTTCCAGGCCAGTCTGGGCCACATGAGACCCTGTCTCAAAAAAAAAAAAACAGAAGAGGAGGAAGAGGGCCATACCAGCTTATTTCTTTCTCTCTCAGTGTGTGTGTGTGTGTGTGTGTGTGTGTGTGTGTGTGTGTGTGTGTAGAAAAGGGGAGAGAGGGGCCAGGGCAAGGGAAGACAGGAAGCTTGGTACAGTGTGTTAGCTAACACACTGCTCTGGTTGGCTCCTGTAAGTGCGACACACAAGGCTGACACACAGGCTCGGGGGAGTGTGTGAGGTGTGTGTATGTATACACGAACTTGAGTGCAAGATCTCTGGCAGTCAGGATGCAGATCAGTCCTGCAAAGCTTGTGTCACACTGCCCTGCCCACCTTCACTCTCTTCCTCAATCCCAGTGAAGGGCGAGAGGTTCTGACCCTCCTGGGACCCGGCTGAGGTCTTAGGAGAACACTGGCTGCTTTCACAGATTCACATGGGAGGCCTCCACCTGTCTCGTCTGGACCCGAGGGCCTGGGGTGCCAGTACTAGAACCCTAGCCCATGCCGCCGCTGGTGGAGACCGTTCTGATTTTAATCCCGAGGACGCTTACTCCAAAGTCATTCTGCTCCACACAGCCACTGGGGGCCCAGGTTCTGCAGGGGCAGACATTGTCTGAGGTGTCATTTCAAGGCTAGAGCCAGGGTGTCTGTAGAGAGCCCCACTCATGCAGGTAGAGAACCCCTGGGCCCCTCTGGTCTGATCCCCTTCCCCTTGCAGCATGGGGGATGGTGGGGTGTCCTCAGTCCTTAGTTGCATTGCTTGGTTAAACGTGACACCACAAAGGAGCCTGCGCTGTGGCTAAATGATGTACTTCTAAATCTAAGATAAAGGTGTTGAAGTAGCTTCTCTGGAGGGACCAGGCAAGTCACTGTCTTTGGATGAAGGACGGTGGAGTTTTGTTCATGGTAACACTCAGTTTTGGGTCCAGTAGACTCAGGAGAGGGGCGCTTCAGGTGTTTCTGGGTGCACAAGTCAAGTCACCCCAGTTTAAAACTGGTGACAACTTAAAAGAAGGTCAAATGTTCTTGCCAACGGAGCGAGAGACCGGTGGAGCTGATCTGGTGTGAGCCTGCAGGCGACCTGTGCTCTGGATGTTTGTTCGCTGACCCTCATTTTTCCGTTCTAGGTTCCAGAATCCGAAGAGCAGGAGGAAGCTGAGTGGTGACACTTGGAAGTGCTTTAGTCATTCATTAAGTTGTTGCTTTTCTCAAGTGGGTGTTGTGGCAACTTTAATGATTAACAGTGTGCAGTGCTCTGGAGCCTGCCAGCGGGATGCTGGGGTCTGCTGCCTTGGTTTACCCCCTGGGGATATGGGATGGACATAGTGTGCTGGGTACCTGGCCTCTACCTAGACTGACTGCAGAGCTAAGTCCAGGTCTAGCCCTGTGTGTGCTGTTCTCACCACCCAGCCCTCTCCAGGCCAGCACTCTGGTACGACCTGTTGGCCTTCATGATTTCTATCACCTTAATCAATCCTGACTTGGGGGATCCAGGTCATTGTCCCACTGACTGCCCACTCCCAGCAGAGCACAAATGTCGAGACAGGAACAGCAAGACAGCCTCTGGCAATTTCAGTTCCAAGCGCTAGGTGGTGGGTTGTGTTGTTAGGGGCAGATCAGAACTCTGACGTCCTCAGGGACACTCCCAGAATAAGACTCTCACTGCTGTGAAGTAGTGTAGGCTAGGAGAAGCACAGAGCTCTAGGGATTTGCTTGTCTACCTACCTTGTGCTGAGCTTACAAGGATGCCGCCATACCTGGCTCTTTAAATGTGGCTGTGGGTTTGAACTCAGATTCTCCTGCTTGCATGACAAGTATTTTATTGACTGAACCATCTCCCCAGCCTCCTACAAGAAATATTTTAATAAGCCCTAAGACAGCTGATTGTGGCCATCTTTCTCCAGTACTCAAGGACTGACATTGGTATGTATGTGAGTACACACACACACACACACACACACACACACACACACACACACACACACAAACACACACTGTGAGGGTTTCTTCTTGGATAAGCACCTGTCTCTTTTTATGAATCGACCTCTAAAACTACTTTAAGGACCCTGTAAATCACCCTCCCATGTCAGCTTGGCCACCTGAGAGTGCTGAATGCACACCCCTGCCTCCTTCCCACCTCAGAGCCCGTAGGAGGTTGGAGAAGAAACAAGGTCTAGCTCCTGCAAGCATGGACCTTAGGAAAAGGCTTGGGCTTGGCAGGAGAACGCTGGAGGAATATAAGCCAGGGGAGCATTTTAGAAACTTCTTTGGATGGAAGACATGGCTCAGTGGTTAAGAGTGTATACTGTGGGCTGGAGAGATGGCTCAGAGGTTAAGAGCACTGGCTGTTCTCCCAAAGTTCCTGAGTTCAATTCCCAGCAACCACATGGTGGCTTATAACCATCTATAGTGAGATCTGGTGTTCTCTTCTTGCCTGCAGATGCAGGCAGAATACTGTATAAATAATAATAAATAAATCTTTGGAAACTTTTATTAAAAAAAGAAAGTGTGTGTACTGCTTTCCCAGAAGATTCTAGGGCCCATGGGGGATGACTTACAGCCACCTGTGACTCCTGCAGCAGGGACCCCCGCCGTCTTTGGGACTCAGCAAGTATCTGTGCTCACACATGTACATACCGACACAGACATATACACATACTTAAAAATTAAATCTTTAAAACTTTTTGTGAGGGGCAAACTTCGCTGCCAGCCTAGGCTATGTCATGAGTGCAAAGACAGCGGGCTTTCACTGTTTGACACAGCCAAGGCTGGTGGCGAAGGAAGCCACTCTCTGCACGTTGGATTTGAAAATCTGGCCCGTGAGGAGGCTGGATGTCAAATCCTCCCACCCTGTTGTGTCACTTTACGCTCGCTCCAAGTATAACTCACTCAGCCCTGGCCTGCAGCTTAAGGGGTCTTGTCCCCCTCTTTCCCACTGCAACCTTCTGGCCCTTTTCCTCTCTCAGAGATGTCACTCATAGGTCCCTAGAACCAACCTTTCCTCAGCCCGTGGCCAAGGACACCTGATCGCCATGTCTTGTGTTCCCAGTCCATTGCCTTCCCACCTGGCACCTCTACTCTACCTGTGCTGTGTGTTCCTCCGTTCTGAGTTCCTAGTTTCCCTGGGGGTTCAGACTCAAGAGGACAGGGCCTGGTCATTATTTCCCCCTCCACCCCCCAGCCTTAAAGGCGTCTGACTGACATTCATCGGTGGAACACATCCAAGAGCTGAAGACACTCAAGAGTCAAGGGCACCAGGCAGCATCCAGCAACCATGTGGCGGCTTGAAGTCTAGCTCCTAAATGCGGCCTTTCAGCTATTGGCTGGGGAACTCCATGACCTTGGCTGTTCCAGAACCTCTGTGGGGCAGACATGAAGGTAGAGGACTCTGGCCTCCATTGCTAATGTTACTCCCACACACCTTTGATCTGTGCTAGAACTTTCTATCAGGCCTGCTTCCTTCTGAGGAATATCCTCTGGCTTCTTGCCAGAATCGGTCATGATGCTGTGGACTCAGCTGCCTGTTAGCAATTAGCCTGGACTTTAGTTTGTTTTTGAAAGATGAATTTAGAAGTAATTTTCTAATTAACCGTGGTTGTCAAGTAAAGGGGGGACAAAGTCTCCGTCTGGGCCCAGACAAGACCACAACATGGCTAGCTGGAGCCTCTTGAGGGACCTGAGTGATAAATTCAAGGAACTGGTGGCTCAGAAACCAATTAGCTTGTGGCTTCTGCTGCTAATGGGGGAACAGCATCGGGCGGAGTGGGCTTGCTGGAGAGTGGAGTTCCGATGGGTGAACTGTGGCAGTGGAGCTAGCAGAACTGATGAAGGGACACGCTTCAAGGACTCCCGTATTCTTAGGGCCATCACATCGTTCATCTGCGTTTGATGGAATGCTTCTGAGTTTGCATTGTTGGTGCCTGGGTTAAAGATGTAATAGCTACCAGAGTCTGTTCTAGATAATAAAGCCTTAAGGCACGGGGATGGGGGGGCATTTGTCATGGGGCTTATATCTATGCGGGGACGTTTTTCAGAATGGTTACTCCCTGCAAAACTGCTGCACGCAAGCCTGGCAATATTTATAAGGCAGCTTCTGTGTTATTGTTTGCGTGACTCTGGGCTCTCTTTCCCTCCCCCCGTACTGAGGACTGAACCTAGGTGCTCGCATAAGGTGGGCAAAGCTTCTGTCACCGAGCTGTTTCCTAGCCCTCTTGTTTTGTTTTGGTCTGGTTTTTTGAAACAGGGTTTCTCTGTGTAGCCTGTAGGCTGTCCTGGACTAGCTTTGTAGACCAGGCTGGCCTCAAACTCACAGAGATCTGCCTGCTTCTGCCTCCCTGAGTGCTGGGATTACAGGCATGCGCCACTGTGCCCAGCTTTCTCAGCCCTCTTTTAACTTTTGTCTTGAAATAGGAGCTCACAGGCTGTGAACTCATGATTCCTCTTCCTCAGCTTCCAGATAACAGCTTAGGTGACAGGCCTGTGCCACTGGGCCTGGCTGTGATTCTGCTTCCTCAATAGTCTCCTGTGGTCATGGGTTAATGTCACAGGGCAACCAGTGTCACAGAGGGCCTCGGGGAGGGGGTCATCTTGGTGTTGACTCTTGGCTTGGAGCTTGGCTGCCAGCTCGGGGTTCCAGATGTCTGCTTCTTTCAGATCTCTGTGGAGAGGTAACCAGACACAGAGGGCACTGGGGCATCCAGAAGGAACCAGTTTCTTACTTGACAACCAAAAGTACCATGCCTCTAAGGCAGTAAGTGCTCACCCCTTGTGGCTATTGCTAAAGATACAGTCTCACAATGGCTGGGTGGTGAGGTCTAGTTTTGAAGGCTTGTCCCAACTCCATACCTTGAACCTGAGAGTATCTCTTGGGACTTCATTGTGTATTCCTGGCTGTTCTAGAACTTGCTCTGTAAACCAGGTTGGCTTCAAACTCAGAGATCTGTTTGCCTTGGCCTCCCAAGTGCTGAGATTAAAGATGTGTGCCCAGCTAATGTTAATGGCCTTTTGTTTGTTTGTTTGAAATTCTCTCTGTGTGTGTTTTTTTGAGTCAGGGTTTCTCTGTATAGCCTTGGCTGTCCTAGAACTTGCTTTGTAGATCAGGCTGGACTCAAGCTCACAGAGATGCACCTGTCTCTGCCTCCCAAGTGCCGAAATTAAAGGTCTGTGCTGCTACTCCCTGTTTGTATCTCTTGGTACTTGTCCCCTTGAAGGACAGAATTCAGTCAGGAGACCTACATGGATTAAACATGGATTAAACAGAAGTTTACATAATAAAACCAAACAAAACAAACACAGAGAGTGGGAGTGTGCTTCCTTAAGGCAGGTAACAACCCAGTGAGTTACTAAGCAGTTATTAAGCAGAGAATTATTAAGTTGTGAATTGCAAAGACATTTTTGGGAATATTTCTGAGGTGGGTGACTCTTCTGGGGGTGGGAAGAGTATTGATTATAACTAGGTAAATCTCTTCCTGCCTCCTGTTCTTCAGTTTTCACTTTCCAGACTCAACCTACATTCCTTTTTTTTATACATTCTTTTTTTTTCTTAAGATTTATTTATTATGTATACAATGTTCTGCCTGCATGTACACCTGCACACTAGAAGAGGGCACCAGATCTCCTTATAGATGGTTGTGAGCCACCATGTGATTGCTGGGAATTGACCTCAGGACCTCTGGAAGAGCAGCCAGTTCTCTTGACCTCTGAGCCATCTCTCCAGCTCCTCAACCTACATTTTTTTATCCACTGTGTGACTCTTTTCTGGGAAGATGTGAACATTTAAATGTCTCCTCATTCCAGATAGAAGATGTAGATAAGTCAATGAAAAGATTCTACCCAAGTTAAGTCTGGCTCAATGCACCAATGAGTTTATCAGGGTTACTTATGGAGTGTGGGTGCGGAGTGATTTCCAGGGTCATGAATAACTCGAAGACATTCAGGTAAGTTGCAGCCCTGGAGCTTTCTGACAGTTCCCTCCCCTGAGGTCCTTACTCTTATATAACTCTGGGGAGTGACAGGTCTTGTGGATCTTGCAGGCTTCAGGGCATCCTAAGACTTATGGGTTGTTTACTTCACTTTCTTAAGGAGCCTGCCTCCAGGATGGAAATCTTTTAATGTGGAGAATATTGCTACATATCACCATCTAGCCCTCTCTTCATCCCTATCTTTACTGTATACCTTATACTCTCTTCTTTTACACATTTGTGTGTGTGTACACATATAGCACAACAGCTGTGGCTGTAGGTCAGAGAAGACAACTTGGAAGAGTTGATTCTCTCCTTTCACTATGTAGATTCTTGGGATGGAACAATGTTACCAGGCTTGGCAGCAAGTGCCTTTACCTGATGGGCTATCTCACTGACTCCCAGAGCAGAAGACAGTGTTCTGGCCATACATGTTCTGTAGGAGGGCGCTGCTTGGTCGTAGTATGATATGACATCTAATGGAGCCAGAACTTTGGTGGGGGTGAGTGAGTGCCTCTGAACCTCAGCTTTCTGTGCAAATGAGGGTGGTGACATCACTTGAGATGGTGCTAGGAAGGCCAAGACTGAGCTCTTGTTCCTTTTTCTCCTCTGTGACAACTTGACCCTAAGTTCAGAGGCACCCCTCAGAATCCACCCAAGATCGTTTGAAGGACAGCTCTTTCCCGTACGTTTTATGTCTAGACTCAGTGTTTCGCTCCGGCAGCTTGGTGGCTATATCTGTCTGTGTTACTGTCCAATTTGAAATGTTGAGTCCTTTACAAACAGAGTTCAGTGGACTGGAAAGCTCTCCATCACGACAGGACCATTCATTTCATTTCATTATCATTTTGTCTGACATCTGAGAAGGCTTAGCTGACTGTGTAAGAAGTTTAAGTGACTTTCCAATTAAAAAAAAAAAAGGAGGAGGTGCGTGTCTGATTACTTTCAGAGCTGACAAGAATAGGGCTAGAAAAACTCTTCCAGGCAATGGAAGTCGAAGGGGCAGTACAGTTCAGAACTCTTTCTTCAATGTCAGTATTGATCACAGCCTGGACAGCCTCCACTGAGAATTTGTGCTCTAATCCCGGCCTCATTCAATGCACTTGAAAACATCCCGTGCTTTTTAGCGCACTTTCATCAGGCACCAGAAATCTTGTTGACAACGTTAATTTGCTTAGCAAAGCCTTTCTTGAAGATCTGAGAGGATAAACTTTAACCTGGCCTCTATCAGGACGGCTATAAATTAGAGGCCTCCAAACTGATGAGGTTACTTGGCTCACATCTACTGTGCCTTGTTAATAAAGACATAACACAACTTGGGGAGCTGGCTCAGTAAGATGTACAGACAGGAGGAACCCCAGAACCCACATAAAAACCAGGCTATGAGGAGGCAGAGACAGAAGGCTCTCTGAGGCTGAACTGGTGAGCTCTAAGTTCAGTGAGAGAGTCAAAAAATAATAAAAAGGTAAAGAGTGACTGAGGAAGATACCTAATGCTAACTTCTGGACTCTACATGAGCAAATGCAGACACACACGCAAAAGCAAA